CTCCCTCCCTTCCTCCCTCCCTCCTTCTCTCTCTCTCTCTCTCTCTCTCTCTCTCTCTCTCTCTCTCATAGAGTCTTGCTCTGTCACCCAGGCTGGGTTGAAGTGGCATAATCTTGGCTCACTGAAACCTCCATCCCCTACATTCAAGCGATTCTCATGCCTGAGCTTTCTGAGTATCTGGGACTACAGGCATGCACCACCATGCCCAGCTAGGCTAACTTTAAAAAAATTTTTTATTTTTAGTAGCTACAGGGTTTGGCCATATTGCCCAGGCTGATCTTAAACTCCTGAGCTCTGGCATTCTGCTCGCCTCGACCTCCCAAAGTGCTAGGATTGCAAGCATGAGTCACAGTGCTTGGCCAATTTCTTAATTCTTAGACTAAATCTACAGGGGACACACTTGTTCCAACATTAGCTACAGTTAAGTAACTGTCAGTAAGTAGTTTTTTGTTTGTTTGTTTGTTTGTTTGTTTTCTTGTGTTTTCGCTTGCTTGTTTGTTAGTGGTTATTTGGGAAAACCCCTTCTTGAAATTATTTTACATGCAAGGTCAAATATAAAGGTAACAGCATAGATTAATTTTCTTCCACACCTATATACACCTTTTTATTCCTGCCTGTGGCTGTAAATAGTTGTACAGTTAAAAGCAGAATGGATTTAATGGAGTATCACTTGTATTTATAATTCGTGTATTTGTAATTCTGCTATGGAAATGAATTCTGTTATACTCAAAGGTTACACTATTATTTGACTTCTTGAAAAGTATGTAAAAATAATGCTCTTGTGGCTTTTCACAGATTTATGGTCTATAAACATTAAATTTAATCAATAATTCATATCATTTATGATAATTTTATTATGGAAAACAATAAAACACATAGACATAATTATTTTGTAACAGTTGGTGTGTTTGGAGTGTTTACTATCACCCTTGAATATGATATTCCAGCTAGAAAATATTAATTTGATAACGTATCTTTAAGAAATTATATAAAATTCATAAAAGTATATAACCTTGTGCACATTTTTAAAACAAGGCTTTGTTGTAGAAAAAACATTATGATATTCATGAAGATGTTTTGTTTTCTATTATTATTTGAGTTTATTTTAAAAGCCATTACTGCTATCTCTCTCTCTTGCCCTCTTTTTCTCTCTATGTATATATATATATGTATACCTATACATATATAACCAAAAATTCCAGGTTCATCATATTCTACACAAATTTCCTTTTTTTTGTTGCCATAACTTATTCTTAATCATTGAAAGCCACTGAAAATCAATACCTGTGTGCTAAATCAAGATGTGTGATCAAGTTAAAAGTGCCATTGTTATTATATATAAAACTTTCTAATGATTACTTTTGTAGTAACATTTTTTAAAATTGCATTTTAGGTTTTGGGGTACATGTGAAGAACACATGAGATTGTTTCATAGGTTCACACATGGCAGTGTGGTTTGCTGCCTTCCTCCCCGTCACCTATATCTGGCATTTCTCCCTATGTTATCCCTCCCCAACTCCCCAGCCCCCACTGTCCCTCCCCTGTTTCCCCCCCACAACAGACCCTGGTGTGTGATGCTCCCTCCCTGTGTCTATGTATTCTCATTGTTCAACAACCACCTATGAGTGAGAACATGTGGTGTTTGATTTTCCGTTCTTGCGTCAGTTTGCTGAGAATGATGGTTTCCAGGTTCATCCATGTCCTTACAAAGGACACAAACTCATCATTTTTTATGGCTGCATACTATTCCATGGTGTATATGTGCCACATTTTCCCTGTCCAGTCTATCATCGTTGGGCATTTGAGTTGGTTCCAAGTCTTTGCTATTGTAAACAGTGCCACAGTGAACATTCGTGTGCATGTGTCTTTATAACAGAATGATTTATAATCCTTTGGATATATACCACCCAGTAATGGGATTGCTGGGTCAAATGGAATTTCTATTTCTAGGTCCTTTAGGAATCGCCACAATGTCTTCCACAGTGGCTGAACTAATTTACACTCCCACCAACACTGTAAAAGTGTTCCTATTTCTCCATATCCTCTCCAGTATCTGTTGTCTCCAGATTTTTTAATGAACACTGGTGTTCATTCATTTTTAATTCTAACTGGTGTGAGATGGTATCTCAATGTAGTTTTGATTTGCATTTCTCTGATGACCAGTGATGATGAGCATTTTTTCATGTTTGTTGGCCTCATATATGTCTTTTGTAAAGTGTCTGTTCATATCCTTCACCCACTTTTGAATGGGCTTGTTTTTTCTTGTAAATTTGTTTTAGTTCTTCATAGATTCTGGATATTAGCCCTTTATCAGAGGGGTAGATTGCAAAAATGTTTTCCCATTCTGTTGGTTGCTGATTCACTCTAATGACTGTTTCTTTTGCTGCGCAGAAGCTGTGGAGTTTGATTAGGTCCCATTTGTCTATTTTGGCTTTTGTTGTCAATGCTTTTGGTGTTTTAGTCATGAAGTCCTTGCCTACACCTATGTCCTGAATGGTTTTGCCTAGATTTTCTTCTAGGGTTTTTATGGTGTTAGGTTTTATGTTTAAGTATTTAATCTATCAGGAGTTAATTTCAGTGTAAGGTGTCAGGAAGTGGTCCAGTTTCTTCTTTCTGCACATAGCCAGTTTTCCCAACACCATTTATTAAACAGGGAATCCCTTCCCCATTGCTTGTTTTTGTGAGGTTTGTCAAAGATCAGATGGTTGTAGACGTGTTGAGTTGCCTCTGAGGCCTCTGTTCTGTTCCATTGGTCTATGTCTCTGTTTTTGTACCGGTATCATGCTGTTTTGATTATTGTAGCCTTGTAGTATAGTTTGAAGTCAGGTAGTGTGATGTCTCCAGCTTTGTTCTTTTTTCTTGGAATTGACTTGGCTACGCAGGCTCTCCTTGGGTTCCATATGAAGTTTAAGGTGGTTTTTTCCAGTTCTGTGAAGAAGGCCATTGGTAGCTTGATGGGGATAGTGTGGAATCTGTAAATCACTTTGGGCATTATGGCCATTTTCACGATACTGATGCTTCCTAACTATGAGCATGGAATGTTTCTCCATCTGTTTGTCTCCTCTCTTATTTCGTTGAGCAGTGGTTTGTAGTTCTCCTTGAAGAGGTCCTTTGCATCATTTGTTAGTTGTATTCCTAGGTATTTTATTCTCTTTATAGCAATTGTGAATGGCAGTTCATTCTTGATTTAGCTCTCTTTAAGTCTGCTATTGGTGTATAGAAATGCTTGTGATTTTTGCGCATTGATTTTGTATCCTGAGACTTTGTTGAAGTTGCTTATCAGTTTCAGGAGGTTTTGGGCTGAGACGATGGGGTCTTCTAGATATACAATCATGTCATCGGCAAATAGAGACAATTTGACTTCCTTCTTTCCTAATTGTATATGCTTTATTTCTTTTTCTTGCCTGATTGCTCTGACTAGAACTTCCAATACTATATTGAATAGGAGTAGTGAGAGAGAGCATCCTTGCCTAGTGCCAGATTTCAAAGGGAATGCTTCCAGTTTTTGCCCATTCAGTATCATATTGGTTGTGGGTTTGTTGTAAATAAGCTTTTATTATTTTGAGATACATTCCGTCAATACCTAGTTTATTGAGAGTTTTTAGCATAAAGCGCTGTTGAATTTTGACAAAGGTCTTCTCTGCATCTATTGAGATAATCACGTGGTTTTTGTCTTTGGTTCTGTTTATGTGGTGAATTATGTTTATAGACTTGTGTATGTTGAACCAGCCTTGCATCCCTGGATGAAGCCTACTTGATCATGGTGGATAAGCCTTTTGATGTGCTGTTGCAATCAGTTTACCAGTATTCTATTGAAGATTTTTGCCTCTATGTTTATGATTGATATTGGCCTGAAGTTTTCTTTTCTTGTGGAGTCTCTGCTGGATTTTGGTATCAGGATGATGTTGGTCTCATAAAATGATTCTGGAAGGATTCCCTCTTTTTGGATTGTTTGGAATAGTTTCAGAAGGAATGGTACCAGCTTCTCTTTGTATGTCTGGTAGATTTTGACTGTGAACCCATCTGGACATGGGCTTGTTTTGGTTGGAAAGCTATTAATTGCTGCCTCAACTTCTGCTCTTGTCATTGGTCTATTCAGGGTTTCAACTTCTTCCTGGTTTAGGCTTGGGAGCATGCAAGTGTCCAGGAATGTATCCATTTCTTCCAGGTTTACTAGTTATGTTCAGAGAGTTGTTTGTAATAATCTCTGATGATGGTTTGTATTTCTGTGGAATCTGTGGTGATATCCCCTTTATCGTTTTTTATTGCATCTATTTGATTATTCTCTCTTTTCTTTTTTATTAATCTGGCTAGTGGTCTGTCTATTTTGTTGATCTTTTTGAAAAACCAACTATTGGATTTATTGATTTTTTGAAGGGTTTTTTGTGTCTCTATCTCCTTCAGTTCTGCTCTGATCTTAGTTATTTCTTGTCTTCTGCTAGGCCTTGAGGTTTTTTGATCTTGCTTCTCTACCTCTTTCAATTTTGATGATAGGGTGTTGATTTTAGATCTTTCCTTGCTTCTCATGTGGGCATTTATTGCTATATATTTTCCTCTAGACACCGCTTTAAATGTGTCCCAGAGATTCTAGTATGTTGTGTCTTCGTTCTCATTGATTTCGAAGAACATCTTTATTTCTGCCTTCATTTCATTGTTTATCCAGTCAACATTCAAGAGCCTGTTGTTAAGCTTCCATGAAGCTGTGTGGTTCTGAGTTGGTTTCTGAATTCTGAGTTCTAACTTGATTGCACTGTGGTCTGAGAGACTGTTTGTTTTGATTTCCGTTCTTTTGCATTTGCTGAGGAGTGATTTACTTCCAATTATGTGGTCAAGTTAGAGTATGTGTGATGTGATACTGAGAACAATGTATGTTCTGTGGATTTGGGGTGGAGAGTTCTGTAGATGTCTATTAGGTTTGCTTGGTCCAGATCTGAGTTCAAGTCGTGGATATTCTTGTTAATTTTCTGTCTCACTGATCTGTCTAATATTGACAGTGGAGTGTAAAAATCTCCCAGTATTATTGTGTGGGAGTCTAAGTCTTCTTGTAGGCCATTAAGAACTTGCTTTATGTATCTTGGTGCTCCTGTATTGTGTGTGCATATATTTAGGATCGTTAGCTCTTCTTGTTGCATTGATCCTTTTACCATTATGTAATGTCCTTTTTTGTCTCTTTTGATCTTTGTTGCTTTAAAGTCTATTTTATCAGAGACTAGAATTGCAACTTCTATCTTTTTTTTGCACTCCATTTGTTTGGTAAATCTTCCTCCATTCCTTTATTTTGAGCCTCTGTGTATCCTTGCGTGTGAGATGGGTTTCCTGGATACAGCACACCGATGGGTTTTGACTTTTTATCCAATTTGCCAGTCTGTGTCTTTTGATTGGGGCATTTAGCCCATTTACATTTAGCATTAAAATTGTTATGTGTGAATTTGATCCTGCCATTTTGATGCTAGCTAGCTGTTTTGCCCGTTAGTTGATGCAGTTTCTTCATTGTATCAATGCTCTTTACCATTTGGTATGTTTTTGGAGTGGCTGGTACTGGTTGTTTCTTTCTATGTTTAGTGCTTCTTTCAGGAGCCCTTGTAAAGCAGGCCTGGTGGTGATGAAATCTCTGAGTAATTGCTTGTTCGTAAAGGATTTTATTTCTCCTTCACTTATGAAGCTTAGTTTGGCTGGATGTAGCAACTTTTAAAAGGAGTGGTGGTGGCGTGGGATCCCTTGGCAAAGTCCAACTTGGCTGCTTCGCTGCTTTCATTGGCCTGGCTAACACTTATGTCTGCTCAGGGAAGGACTAGGAGTGTGTAGAGGGAAATGACATCTGCTGCTGTACTGCTTTGAGTTCCTCCCTGATCTTGGCATTTACATGTGTCTGTTTCATTTAATACTCTTAATAACCTTGTGGGGAAGGGGAGATTATCTTAGCCATTTCACAAAAAGCTTTAGCAAATAATTGTGCAGAAACATCCTCGTCAGGATTTGTAATCCCATTTGAAACTAGAAGCCAAACTCATTCTATTGAATGATAGCTGCCTCTCATATCTAACTGCAAAAAGGCATAGTGCCTTACTTCTTCCTGCTTTACTCTTTTTTCATCCATCCAATCATCTATTCAAGGTGTAAATTTCTGGTGGCAATTTACAAGATCTGGTTCCAGATTCTATGAAGGGTAGAATGTTAAGAGTTCTGCCCTCAAATGGTGAAGACGGAAAAGGTACACAAATAATACCATTTCCAAAATAGTATCATTCATTTAAAAGACATGTTAATTCCTACTTGTGCCAGGTATTATGCTGGATATTGGGGAACAGAAGTGAATGAATATGATTCTCACATTCGTGGACCCACAGCAGTTTAATGCAATATTGTATCTAAGCCTAGTGCTTTTCAAGGTCACATCTCATAGCCTATTCAATATATTAAAATGCACACATATTCTACATTAAATATACATGTTTGCTTTGTAATCTTGTTTGAAGTACTTGGATAATTGGAAGAACTAGTCACCAAGTGTGGAAGATTGTTCTCATATCTTTCCCCTTCCTTTTACACACACCTGTTGCCAGGTGCCTTTGCAGTTTCTCCCTATCTCATCAGTGTTGGGCTTTGGGTGGTAAAATGTAGACAGAACACTGTGCTGAGCGTGACCCTGAAAGCCATTACATCTTTCTGTTTGCCTCTGTCCTGGTTCCGTCATTGCGTATAAAGAACATGCCCCTGCTAATACTGTCTCATAGAGGGCATGAGGCTAAATGAAGTAGCCTATGGGATGGTCGTGGAGATGTACCTGGCATAAACGCTCCGGAAATGGTATGGCGCCTTTGCCTTTGTTACTTCTCTTACTATTACCATGTAACTCTGTTTTGATATATACTGTCTAGATGGTTGTGCATGATTTTTAAGGTTTGGATAAATATTACCAAATGACTCGACCACTAGCAGGAAAAGGTGATGTTCATTTCCACTTCAGGTCAAAAATGTTGTAAGATCAGGATTCCTAAGGACCAGATCATAGACTCCAGCTCAGTCCAAGACCCGGAAGGCAAAGAACCTCTACGAGGGTAATATCCTCATAAGGAGCCTCCGTTTAGACTCTTAAGGGGATGTCCGCTTTACAAAACCTCCAGAGGCTGCTAGCCTTCCTTCTTCCAGAAAAGGAAATAACCACGCGCCTGTCCTAGCTGTAGCCTGAGGTTCAAGCACCCGGGCCACAGGGACTAGTTGGGGCACACAGTCTGCTGTGGACTCCGTCTTCTTCCTACCGCAGGACGCAGAAACTCGCCCCTCTCTCCTCCAAGCCTCACCATCCTAATGACTCTCCAAGACCTTCTTGACTCTGCAAGAACCCAAATGACTTTCCAAGATCCTCTGCTTTTATTAATTTAGCTGCCAAGTATTTCTGGCCCTGTAAAGGAAACAGCAGGTCAGGTCCTTAAATATATTTATTTACCGTGTGTGTGTGTGTGTGAAACAAATCTTTTTCTTGTAAACCAATATATTATATAGTAGGGAGTTTAATTCCTTACTTTCATTTTTCTCCCTAAACTTTTTATAGTCAACAAGAGCAAAAGCACACTGCAATGCCCAAACAAATTGCAGGCATTTTCTGCTCCCTGAAGCCTGGGAATTAATTCATATACTCAGCCCCTTTTCCTTTGGCAGGCCATTGAAGAAGTAGTTGAACCACATGATTGGATTGACCAGAATAAAAACAAAACAACAACAACAACAACAACAACAACAACTACAGAAACCACTGAGATCTGTTCAAAAAGGCTGACTCCTCATATCATCACACCAGCAAGGAATGGACCAGCCTCTGATTTTCCCTTCTTGGCTGACTTTACAAGGTTGGAGGCAGCTCATGAGAATCATGCAACAAAGACAGAAAGAAAGTGCTGGAGAAGCCGCACCTGCAGGGCCTTACCTTTAGCTGGTTTGTATGGTCCCACTCCATGTAGCTGTTGGAAAACCAGTATCTCTAATGTGCTTTATGGGATAGCTGTTACCTTCCACTAATTTATGTCTATGACCTATAAACCTAAAGTATCCTTTTATAAATTTTATTCAGTCTTTATGGAGGAAATTTTTAGTGCATGCCAGGTATAGTGTCAAGCACTGGGATTCCTAAGATGAATGTAACATTGTCCTCATCATCCATTAAGTCACAATCTAGTAGAGGAATAGAAGTTAAAAAAAAAAAGAATTATAACCATAATACAGAAGTGAACAGGCTTCAGTGGTAGCACAGAGAGGGTTTCAGGGCTACTGTCACAGAGGTGATAACATTTAAGATACAGATTCCAAATTCAGATGTGTTTGTTTTGCAAAATTCTAGGGTCTATGTGCTCAGGTCCTGAAAATTCCAGTGACAAATTTTACCTAAAATTTAGGTGGCAAATGAATCTTACTATAACCACTTCGAACCATTGTGTGGCTGGTCCATCTTATGGGACCCATCTTCAGTTCAGAGGGATGGAGGCAGAGGGAATACAGCAGGTAAGCTCAATCAGTGATATGACAGGGCTTTCCGAATTGGGGCCAAGAAGGGCTTGCTTTATTTTCACGCTATTTAAAAATAAGTTTTTGCAACTGATTTACCCTATTAAATACTTCCATGCATAACTCAGTGGAGATTTATTTGCAATAGTAGGATCAGGTAATTTGAAAACGTTAATATGTGTGGTTGTAGCAGGAGGAGGACTGGGTTCCAGCATTTAATAAGAGAATCCATGGCTTTATGAAAATGTCTAAAGATATAATTTTCATTAAAGTTATACTTCGCCTTTAGTTGTACAGCTCTTTCTTTCAGTTTCAATAAAATCTAAAACAGGAAATGTCAATATACATGCTCAGGTAAGGAAAGAATGTGTCTATGCAGAGAGTAGGATCCAATCCTCTACTCTACAGGTAGTAATGAAGAAAGAAGGCTCATCACTTCAATGAGCACTGTGAGCCCTTGAATGGGCTTATAGGTACATACTTACAGTTAAAATATGTATCTTGCATTTTAGTATTGGATAAAATACTGTCACATATTTCTCATTAAATCTACAGTTCTACCATCTTTCCTGATTAATTTTGCCAGTAAAAGTTCCTTACCTTTCTATAAAAGTCCAAGATTTACATTCATTTTTTGGTAGCAAATTTTGTCTTGTAGGAAAAATTAGACACTTACGATGACAAAACCTTCTTCGAAAGAGACTTTACCATTAATTTTTGGGGGCAGCTGGGTGGGGGGGTCACTTGTAATCCTAGATTGCATTAACTTAATCAGGATTGAGATGATTTCAAACTGACTTGTATCCCTGTGAAGGCTGGGATATTTCTGGAACATTTTTATTCTTTGAGTACAACAACTTTTTACCCATCCAAAATTCTGTGGTGTTTACTAGGTTCCCTACCACCTGACAGGCTTTAAACTCTAAATTTGTCCTCCCTCAGTTTCGTGATTCTAACTCAAATGTCTGGTCAGCTACTAAGCCATCACTTCCAAATTGTCATGTTCCCCATAAAAACCAAACTGATATGGGTTGGGTCTGGGTCCCCATGCAAATCTCATCTTGAATTTTAATCCCCATAACCCCCAAGTGTCAAGGAAGGAACTTGATGGGAGGTGAGTGGATCATGGGGGAGATGATTGGATCCCCCATGCTGTTCTCGTGACAGTGAGTTCTCATACAATCTGATGGATTTATAAGGGGCTATTCCCATACACTCTTCTCTCTCCTGCCACCCTGTGAATAAGGACATATTTGCTTCCCCTAATTCCATGATTATTAGTTTCCTGAGGCCTCCCAGCCATTTGGAACTTCGAGTAAACTAAACCTCTACCCTTTATAAATTACCAAGTTTGGGTATTTCTTTTTAGCAGTGTGAAAACAGACTAATACAGGAAATTGGTACCAGGAGTTTGGGGCACTGCTACAAAGATACTTGAAAATGTGGAAGCAACTTTGAGACTGGGTAACAGGAAGAGTCTGGAACAGTTTGTAGCGCTCAGAAGAAGACAGGAAGATGTGGGAAAGTGTGGAACTTCCTAGAGACTTGCTGAATGGTTTTGACCAAGATGCTGAGAGTGATAAGGACAATGAAGTTCAGGCTGAGGGGTTCTCAGATGGAGATGAGGAACTTATTTGACACTGGAGCAAAGTTCACTCTTGTTATATTTTAGCAAAGAGACTGGAGACATTTTACCCCTGACCTAGAGATCTTTGGACCTTTGAACTTGTATTAGTTCATTTTCATACTGTTAACGAAGAAGTATCTGAGACTGGGTAACTTATAAAGAAAAAGAGGTTTAATGTACTCATAGTTCCACATGGCTAGGGAGGCCTCACAATCACGGCAGAAGGTGAAGGAGGAGCAAATCATGTCTTACATGGTGGCAAGTAACAAGAGTGTGTGCAGAGGAACTGCCCTTTATGAAACCATCAGATCTCATGCAACTTATTCACTATCATGAGAATAGCACAGGAAAATTCTGCCCCATGATTCAATTACCTCCCACTGGGTCCCTCCCCGGACACACAGGGATTATGGGAGCTACAATTCAAGATGAGATTTGCGTGGGAACACTGCCAAACCATATCATTCCACCTCTGGCCCCTCCCAAATCTCCTGTCCTTCCTATTCAAAACACAATCGTGCCTTTCCAACAGTCTCCCAAAGTCTTACATAACTGTAGCGTTAACTCCAAAGTCCAAGTCCAAAGTGCCATCTAAGACAACGCAAGTCCCTTCCACCTATGAGCCTGTAAAATCAAAAGAAAGTCAGTGACTTCCTAGATACAATGGGGGCACAAGCTTTGGGTAAATACACCCATTCCAAATGGGATAAATTGGCCAAAATGAAGGGGCTACAGGCCCCAAGCAAGTCCAAAATCCAGAGGGGCAGTTAAAAGTTAAAGCTCCAAAATGAGCTTTGACTCCATGTCTCACATTCAGGTTATACTGATGCCAGAGATGGCCTCCCATGATCTTGGGCAGCTGTGCCCCTGTGGGTTTGTAGGGTACAGCTCCCTTCCTGGCTGCTTTCACAGACCGGCATGGAGTGTCTGCCACTTTTCTAGGAGCATGGTGTAAGCTATTGGTAGATTTACCATTCTGGCATCTGAAGGACAGTGGCTGTCTTCTCACTGTTACACTAGGCAGTGTCTCAGGGGGGACTTTCTGTGGGGGCTGCCACCCTGCATTTCCCTTCTGTACTGCCCTAGCAGAGGTTCTCCATGAGGGCTCCATCCCTGCAGCAAACGGCCGTCTGGACATCAAGGAATTCCATACAACCTGTGAAATCTAGGTGGAGGTTCCCAAACCTCAACTCTTCACTTCTGTGCACCAGCAGGCCCAATAGCATGTGTAAGCCACCAAGGCTTTGGGCTTGCACCATCTGAATCAACAGTCTGACCCCTTTTAGCCACAGCTGGGACACAGGGCACCAAGCCCCAAGACTGCACAAAGTGGGAAGGCCTGGGGTTCAGCCCCTGAAACCATTTTTTCCCTCTAGGTCTCTGGGCCTGTGATGGGAGGCTATGCCATGAAGACTTCTGACATGCTCTGGAGACATTTTCTCCATTGTCTTGGTGATTAACATTTGCCTCCTTATTACTCATTCAAATTCCTGTGGCTGGCTTGAATTTATCTTCAGAACATGAGGCCTTATATTCTATCACATCACCAGCCTGTAAATTTTCTGAACTTTTATGCTCTGCTTCCCTTTTGAACCTAAGTTCCAATTCCAAACCACATATCTGTGAATGACTAAAACTGAATGCTTTTCAGAGTACCCAAGCCACATCTTGAATGCTTTGCTGCTAAGAAATTTCTTCTACCAGATACCCTAAATCATCTTTTTCAAGTTCAAAGTTACACAGATCTCTAGGGCAGGGGCAAAATGCGACCAGTCTCTGCTACAGCATGGCAAGAATGACCTTTGCCCCAGTGTCCAATAAGTTCCTCATCTCCATCTGAAACCACCTTAGCCTGGAATTCACTGTCCATTTCACTATTGGCATTTTGGGCAAAGCCATTCAACAAGTCTCTATGAAGTTTCAAACTTTCCCATAATTTTCTATCTTTTTCTGAGCCCTCTAACCTTTTCTAACCTTTGCTGTTACCCAGTTCCAAAGTTGCTTCCACGTTTTCAGGTATGTTTACGGCAGCACCCCACTCTATGATGCCAATTTAATGTATTAGTCAATTTTCATAGTGCTATGAAGAAATACCTAAAAATGGGTAATTTATAAAGAAAAAGGTTTTAATGGACTCAGAGTTCCATATAGTAGGGGAGGCCTCATAATCATGGTAGAAAATGAAGGAGATGCAAAGACACATCTTACATGGCAGCAGGAAAGAAGGAGCATGTGCAGAAGAACTTCCCTTTATAAAAGTATCAGATCTTGTGAGACTTATTCACAATCATGAGAACAGCATGGGAAAACCCCGCCCCCCATGATTCAATTACCTCCCACTTGGTCTCTCCCAGGACATATGGGGATTATGGGAGCTACAATTCAAGATGAGATTTGGGTGAGGACACAATCAAACTACATCAGAACTTGAGAGAGATGATCCAAAACTGGAACTTGTGTTTAAAGGGAAGGAGAATGTAAAAGTCTGGAAAATTTACAGCCTGACCCTATGGTAGAAAAGAAACACCCATTATCTGGGAAGAAACTCAAACTGGCTACAGAAATTTTCATAAGTAACGAGGAGCCAAATTACCAAGACAATGGGGAAAATGTCTCCAGGGCGTATCAGAGACCTTAGCGGCAGCCTCTTCCATCACAAGACTGGGTGGAAAAGACAAATTATATGTAGAGATCATTGTCAGAAATTACTAAACTCTGTCATCAAAAACGGTATTGGAATTGATGTTAAAATTTCTTAATAAAAGAAGATGGAACACTACTTTGGGTTAGTTTTTGAAGTGGTGCATTCTCCAAAGATTCTGTATTTAACACTCAGTCCTGGGAAGCCAGTAGTATTTATAATAAATTTCATAATACTCATGCAAATACGAATCAGATACTGGCCCACAGTAAATGCAAGTAAGAGGTTGGAAATCCCTTGGTATCCCCCAGGAAGTTTTCTTGGGAAAAATAAAGACTGAATATTATTAAACCTCTAGCTTTAACTACCAGTTTACAAGAAATGCTGGGTCTACAGCTACACATTAAATGGACATCACATGAATAAATGGTAAAGTGAAAAATGTGGAACACTTCATAGAGAAAACATGACTTTCTTCAACAAGCAAATATTAGAAAAAATAAAAAGGGGAAATATACACATTAAATCGTGACTTTGGAGACTCACACAACCAAATATGTAGACTTTTTTTGATTCTGACTTGAACAATTCATATGTAAAACAAAAATAAACAAATATAGAGGTTAGGGAAAGATAACCACTGAAGTTTTGTAAGCATGTTGACAGGACTGTAGTTTTATTTTATAAAAAGTACTATTTTTTGACTATAGTAGTAATTACTCAACTGTATGTCTGTGTCAGAATTCATTGACCTGTACATCAAAAGAGTGAATTTTCCTGCACATAAATACTAGATCAATATAACTAGACTTAAAAATAAATGGCCACTATAAACAGACACGAGAACACCCTGCAGGACAAAGTCTGGGGCCATGAAGGACAATGGTCAAGGACATTTCAACTCCAAAGAGAAGTAATCAGGACTTGCAGTATGAGCTAACCAAAAATTGTACTCCCCTGCCAGAGCTGGACATTCTGTAAATTCCTGCACAACAGAATTTGGTCATTGCTATAGGATTGTGGCTGCTACATTTCCCATTTCTCCTTTTTCTGAATAAAAATTTATTGGATTATGTCCATACTCCTCTATAGTATATTGGGTATGTGGGTGGAGCAGGGGGGATGGAGATAAGTCTCTGCACCATGGGGAGCCTCATTCGGATGTGCTGAAGAGCAATACACGTTGACCAGAAAATCTGGATCATCTTGGGAAGTGGGTAAGTACACTTCATATGTGGAAAGGAGAGGACATACATGTACTAGAGGGGTGAGATGGGTAGTGAGTAACTCCTGGTTACTTCTCTTAGGAGACTATGAGTTTGCCCAATGTCCATTTTCCCCTTATTCCAGTTACAGAATTTAGGCTAGGCATTTGATCGTATGGAATAAACATTACATTCCACGGCCTCCTTTCCAATGAAGTGAGCCATGTAACTGAGCTGTGAACACTGGGTGTGAACAGCCATGGTATATGCAGTTTTCAGATGGCGTTTTTAATAAGAAGAGGTGCTTTCTCCTTCTTCCTAATTACTCCTGGCTGTAGTGCAGGCATGTTGGCTAGTTTAGCAGCCGTTTTGGCCATGTTGCATGTTGAGGTTTATAGTATAGCCTCATTGAAGAAATATCTCACAGGTTGGAACTCCCATGACCACAAAGGACAGTGCATTTGGACTATTATATGAGAAATAAATTTCTCTCTTGCTTAAGTTCCTGATTTGTTTGTTCTGAAATTCAGTATTCTTTTGAATAAAGATTAGTATTTCCGAATGAACAATTTCTGTAGGTCAGATTTAAGGTTTTGCATAACTGAGACTACCACATATTTGGAAAGTCCAACTAATTGCGATTTGTCAAGGAAAGTATATCAGTCAGGGTTGAGTGCAGGTTAAAGAGATTTAATACAAAGATCAAGTGCTGGAAATCTTTAGGATGATAACAGCAGTGAGAATTAGGAGGCCAACACTGGAATTATTAAGTTCACGAACACATCTCTCTTACCTGCAATCCAGAAATCAGGAAACTGAATTAGGAAATCATTACCATCAGAAACACCTTTCCACCCCATCAAAGTCAATGACTAGACACTGCAACACTGCTTCTGGTTGTTGCTACTGCTGAAACTGCTTATGGATATCCATGAAACTGGTGACTAGACACTGACACTGTAGTCAGCAGCATTACTATCTCTAGACATTCACTTTTCTATGACCCAGCTTGCCAGAGTGGAAGAAAGAGGGCCCCCATTTTACTTTTATCTTACAAATAGTATCTATTTGGAGGAATCTCATTTGTATTCAGAATCTTAGTTGCAAATCATTCTAAAATATATAGCTTCTAGCTTTCTAGACTCTGAAAATAGGAGGATGGGGATAAAGACTAAGCAAGCTACTCCTCACATCTACTAGAAAAGTGTTAGCTATTCCTCAATTAGAGCAAAGAACTGAAAAACTGTAATTTTCTACTGCCATTTGCAATGGAAGCTGATGTCACAGGAAGCATGGAAGGAAACAAATTATGTTTACTGAATAATTTTGAGCTGTAGAGGAACTATACATATTTTTTTCCTTTTTAACAGTGTATTTACCACTATCGTTAGGCAGAGAACAAGAACTACCTTGTCAGTAATGAAGTTATACCATCCTAGGCATTTAGAATGACAAATAACAAATTATTTTTAAGTGTAAAAGTGAGCTAACCATTTGAAGTGAGGCATGAGATTTGTTTAAAAATTTTTAAAAGCCAAGATAAAATCAGTATTTGAGCTCTAGTACGTTTTGCACATCCAAATAATTATCTAACAGTTTTCTAATCAGGTAATTTAATTAAAGAAAACAGCCCCCAATACTCTCAATTATTGGCATTATATATATAAACTTTTATTAAGGTTCAAGAGTCCATGTGCAATTTTGTTATAATTGCATGTCACCAGGGTTTGGTGTTCAGATTATTTCATCACCCAGGTAATAAGCGTAGTACCCCACAGGTAGTTTTTAATTCTTCACCCTCCTTCCATCTTCCACCTTCAAGTAGGTCCTATATCTGTTGTTCTCTTCATGTCCATGTGTACTCAATATTTAGCTTCTACATATGAGAGAACATGAAATACTTGGCTTTCTGTTCCTGTATTAGTTCACTTAGGATAATGGCCTCCAGCTCCATCCATGTTGTTGTAAAGGGCATGATCTTTAACTTTAAAAAAAAATTTATTTATTTTACTTTAGGTGCATACTATATCAGTAATTTCTCCCCATGTTATACCTCCTCACCCATCCCTCCCTCCCCACCCCCGTTCTCTCCCCTACCCCCCAACTGCTCCCAGTGTGTGATGTTCCTCTCCCTGAGTCCACGTGTTCTTGTTGTTCAACATCCACCTATGAATGAGAACATATGGTATTTGGCTTTCTGTTCTTGTGTCAGTTTGCTGAGAATGATGGTTTCCAGATTCATCCACATCCCTACAAAGGACACAGACTCATTGTTTTTTATGGCTGCATAGTATTCCATGGTGTATGTGTACCACATTTTCTTTGTCCAGTCTATCATTGATGGGCATGTGGGTTGGTTCCAGGTCTTTGCTATTGTACACAGGGCTGCAATGAACATATGTGTGCTTGTGCCTTTATAGTAGAACAATTTATAGTTCTTTGGGCATGTGTCTTTATAGTAGAACAATTTATAGTTCTTTGGGTATATACCCAGTAATGAGATTGCTGGATCAAATGGAATTTCTGTTTCTAGATCCTTGAGAAATTGCCACACTGTTTTCCACAATGGCTGAACTAATTTACACTCCCGCAAGCTGTGTAAGAGTGTTCCTATTTCTCCACATCCTCTCTAGCATCTGTTGTCTCCAGATTTTTTAATGATCGCCATTCTAACTGGCATGAGATGATATCTCAATGTGGTTTTGATTTGCATTACTCTAATGACCAGTGATGAGGAGCATTTCTTCATGTTTGTTGACCTCATATATGTCTTCTTTTGAAAGTGTCTGTTCATATCCTTCTCCCACTTTTGAATAGGTTTGTTTTTTTCTTGTATGTCTGTTTTAGTTCTTTGTAGATTCTGGATATTAGCCCTTTATCAGATGAGTAGATTGCAAAAATTTTTTCCCATTCTGTTGGTTGCCGATTCACTCTGTTGCTGTACAGAAGCTCTAAATTTTAAATTAGATCCCATTTGTCTATCTTGTCTTTTATTGCCACTGCTTTTGGTGTTTTAGTCATGAAGTCCTGTCTATGCCTATGTCCTGGATGGTTTTGCCTATGTTTTCTTTTAGTGTTTTTATGGGGTTCCCAGGTTTTATGTTTAAATCTTTAATCCATCTGGAGTTTAATTTTAGTGTAAGGTGTCAGGAAGGGGTCTGGTTTCTGCCTTCTGAACAATGCTAGCCAGTTTTCCCAACACCATTTATTAAACATGGAGTCCTTTCCCCATTGCTTGTTTTTGCTGGGTTTGTCAAAGATCTGATGGTTGTAGATGTGTGGTGTTTCTTCTGGGGCCTTTGTTCTGTTCCATTGGTCTATGTCTCTATTTTGGTACCAGTAGCATGCTGTTTTGATTACTGTAGCCTTGTAGTATAGTTTGAAGTCTGGCATTATGATGCCTCCAGCTTTGTTCTTCTTACTTAAGATTGTCTTTGCTATGAGGGCTGTCTTGTGATTCCATATGAAGTTTATAGTGTTTTTTTCCAGGTGAAGAAGGTGATTGGTAGCTTGATGGGGATAGCATTGAATCTATAGATTACTTTGGGCAGTATGGCCATTTTCACGATATTAATTCTTCCTAATCATGAGCACGGAATGTTTTTCCATCGGTTTGTGTCCTCTCTTATTTTGTTGGCAGTGGTTTGTAGTTCTCCTTGAAGAGTTCCTTTACATCCTTTGTTAATTGTGTTCCTAGGTATTTTATTCTCTTTGTAGCAATTGTGAATGGGAGTTCGCTCTTGATTTGGCTCTCTGTTTGTCTGTTATTGGTATATAGGAATGCTTGTGATTTCTGCACATTGATTTTGTATCCTGAGAGTTTGCTGAAGTTGCTTATCAGTTTGAGAAGATTTTGGGCTGAGATGATGGGGTCTTCTAGATACACAATCATGTCATCTGCAAAAAGAGACAGTTTGGCTTCCTCCTTTCCTAATCGAATACCCTTTATTTCTTTTTCTTGCTTTATTGCTCTGGCTAGTGTAGTATGCTATGGTGTATATGTGTCACATTTTCTTTATCCAGTCTACCGCTGATGGGCATTTAGGTTGATTCTATGTCTTTGCTATTGTGAATAGTGCTGCAATGAACATATATATGCATGTGTCTTTAAGGTAGAACACTTTATATGCCTTTGGTTATATACTCAGGAATGAGACTGCTGAGTTGAATGGTAGCCGTTTTAAGTTCCTTGAGAAATCACAAAACTGCTTTCCACAATAGCTGAACTAATTTACATTCCCACCAGCAGTGTGTAAGCATTCCTCTTTCTCTGCAACTGTGCCAGCATCTGTTATTTTCTGACATGTTAATAACAGCCATTCTGATTAGTGTGATGACATTTTGTCAGTTTGCATTTCTCTAATGACTAATGATATTTGGTATTTTTTCATATGCTTGTTGGCGATATGTATGTCCTCTTTCGAAAAGTGTCTGTTCATACCCTTTACCCACTTTTTAATGGGGTTGCTTGTTTTTTGCTTGTTAATCTGTTTAAGTTCCTAATGGATTCTGAATATTATATCTTTACTGGATGCTTAGTTTGCAAATGTTTTCTCTCATTCTGTAAGTTGTGTGTTTACCCTGTTGATAGTTTCTTTTGCTCTGCAGTAGCTTTAATTCGTTATCATTTGCCAATTTTTAGTTTTGTTGAAATTGCTTTAGGTGTCCTTGTCATGAAATCTTTGCCAAAAATTACTGGCATATTTTCTTGAAGACAGCATCTGTTTTCTAACATTCCATGGGTTCAATCTGATGATCTTGAAGTGGTAATTTTTGTTTATTTTTCTCTTCATTGTAAGTCTCAAGTTTCTCATCATTTAATAAATTATACAAGCTCTCATTTGTCTCTTTAATATCACAAAGAATGGAATCCATAGAATAACCAAATTCAATAAGGGCATACACATTATGTCCATGTTTATAAAAATGCCCAGTGGTATGCAAAGCAACTAATTTTCCAGATGCATTGAACACTGGGGAGCCTGAGGATCCATCAGAGAAACAAGTATCATAACTAAGCATTTGTGTGTTCCAAATCTCTGATAGGAAACTTCTTTGGGTAAACATATGGCATACATTACTGTTGGTACCAGGGAGATCTACCCAACCCTCTTGACAATGATTTGGATATTTTTTCAATCGTTCATTTACAGGAATCACAGCACAACCATCTATTTTCTTGATCTGGCCTTCGGGATGACCAATTAAATAAATCAAACCAGTAGATGGTGGAGGAGAAATTTGTCGCCATAGGCCCGGAGGAAATGCATCTCCATTTTCATTTAGTTTTAAAATGGCATAATCTAGAGTTTCATTGGACATTTCAAGCCATGGCTCAATAAAAAACCAGTTGTCACCAGTAGGGCTGAACTCTGTGTAAGTGAAGGTTACCTTTGCACATTGGCTAATTATTTGTGGCCACAAGCTTTGATCTGTGTTTTTACCCACCATAAGTTCTACAACATGTTGACAGGTGAAAATATAACCACCATTGAAGACAAAGCAAGTAGCATTGCCTGTGTTTCCATTATTGTTCCATTCCAGGAACCCAACTGACTTGCTAAGATAAGTAAGTTGTTCACAGGTTGCAACTGAAATAGAATTTGCAGTAGTTTTTCCAAATAACTTTTCATATATGTCGAATTGGCTAGATGGTGAAAGATTCATTCTCTTCTGTTCTTCCTGAAAATATTTTCTCACCCACTGTGCCTCCTCTTTAAAATTTGGATACTGAGATATTATGGTTTCATTCAATATTTGCAAATTCTTTAAGAGGTTAGTTGCCTCCTTTTGGACATCCAGATTAATAGCACACTGCCTACCCAGATGCGGCCTCTGCTTAACTTGTGAGGTTATTTTCCTATATTTACTGTCCAAACTACCAATGTAATTAGTTCTAATCCCGGGAACTGTCTGGTGAGTTTTACCTTTAATATCATGCCCTAGATTCTGAGGTTGGAGAATTTTCTCTCTGCTGTGTTCTACATCTTCGGTCTCTCCATCTCTCTCTTGTTTGTGGACCAGACTCTGGTGATTAATTTCATCAGTGGCATTTTCATTCTGTTTAATTTCTTTATGGATGCCTTTCTTTTGTAATGTTTCTTTTTTTGAAATGTCCATTTCTAAGACTTTTCCAGATACTTCATCAACAATGGACTGTTTTCCATAGATTTTATTATGACCTTCCATTAGTTTCCATTTAAATTCATCTATATCAGAGCGAAATCGGCCATCCTTGCATAAGGCTTCTTGAATAGTCTCACCCTTCAAGGCATAAATACAAAGTTTACTTCCTTTTTCATGAAGTGTCTTGATCTTAACAATCTTCTTTATTGTCCTTCCAATAGCAACAACATAAAAAAGAATGCATTCCATGTTTGGATTTTCATATTGACGTAATATGTGTCCATCTTCTTCACTACTATTTTTTTTACCAATTGTAATTTTAAAATGAGAATCAATAGGCAGGCACTTGAGAGGCATTCCTAAATTTATATATCCAACTATTGTTTTTTCTTCATAAACAATAATGTTCTTATTACAATGATTCTTCATCCTTTCACTGAAATGCTCATTAGCACTCAGAGCTGAGTCGATACTCTCACTGGGATTACCATAGGCTGTAAACACACTGTGGTCTAATTTTCCGGAGTTTTCATTCAAAGTGAAGGTGAAACAACATTCTCTATTGTTCAAATTTAGATTCTGAATTCCCAGGGCTGTTTCATCCGTGTTGATTTCACTTTTAAGCTTAAAGGTGCTGCTACACTCTCTTATGCCAGATAGACAATGATCAACAGGTGTGTCAGCACATGTCCGCTTTATCACAGTATCCTTAAAAAGAAAAGATTAAAGAGGTTAAAAAGAATAACCTTTAATAATATTTCATATTTTTTCTAATGATAGAACCAATAGATATTATGAGGAAGAATTGGATAATGGTTAACAAATAATGGAGAAAAAAATCAGTCACTGTTCTATTACCAGGCATACTCATTCTACATTTTATTTTTATTTTTTTCCCCTGTATACCTTGATTTTGTTTTTTTGATTTTAAAAGTAGAACTCTGATTTTCCACAATGGTTCTAAGACCATTTAATGGGGGGAAGTAATCATCTTTGTAACAAATGTGCTAGAATAACTGGATATCCAAATACAAATAAATGAGTTGGACTCCTACTTTATACCTAACTCAAATGGATCAGAAATGGCCCTGTATTGGTTCATATGCAGATCTAAATCTTATGTTTCTTAAATACCGTGTTGTGTATGAGTTTATTTTTCATTAAGCAATCTGTCACTACTTTGTGTTATTAAGCAACCTTGAAAACCACAAATTGAGGCGCTATAGAATATTTCAATGTATAATAATTCGTAATCCATTCTTTCAGTGCTGAATATTTAGATTATTTCTAGATTTTAGTCTAACTATGAAGAAACGTTCTACAAATATGACATTTTTTTTGTCTGCACATCTGAATATTTCCATAGGTCATATTCCCAGTAGTGGAAATACTGCAACTAAGGATATAAAAATATTTTGCAACATATATTCTGCCTCCCAGAGAATTGTATCAACTCTGTCCCTTCTCTCCAGCTGCTCAAGGAGACCAACCTCAATCCTGTGATTGATTCCTTAAAATTATTTGTGTTTCCATTTTAAATGTTTATCAATTGATAGATGAAATTCTATCTAATCTGAATGTTTTTAGAATGCACATTTATTCACTTACTAGTAAAGGTGGACTTACTTAATTTATCTTTTGGATATTTGAAACATCACCTTTCAAAAATTCCCATTAAAAATCTGTTTAGTTGCTGTTCTGTCAATGGTTTTGATAGTACTAAGAAAATATATTTTGGTGAAAAATATTATATGTAAAAAATATTATATGACAGGAGTCAACATAACTTAGAAGGAAATCATTGTGAAGCCTGAAGTCCTGGATCTAGTCTATATGAATAGAGGAATAAGCCTGGAGAGTAAAATCAGGAGGGACAGCTGGGCTTGGATCATTTAGTAGGTAGGTGCAAGAGAATAAGCCTAGCTTTTAGGAACAGTGATTTTCCTTTTTGTCTTGGTGCTCGCCTATCACCTCATGTTTTCAAATACTTATTGCCCAAATCTATCTCTGTAACACTTACCTCTCATCTAAGCTCCAGATATTAATATTTCGTTGCCTCTTTGACATCTACTCTTGGATACATCAGAGGCATTTCACTGTTAATCCCTTCAAAACCAGAGTTACAAATTTAATTGTGTCCCTCTTCCTGTGTTCCTAAATCTGATAATGGTGTCATTACCCATTTGAGGACCCAAGCTAGTATCCTGTGAATAGTCCTCAGCTTTTACTATATATGTATATGCCCCTAAATAAGTGTAAGACAATGATAGTTTTAAAACAAATTCAGATTTAGTGGTTATCCACGAGAATGAGAAAGGGGGATAAGATGAAGGAGAGACACACTATGCCTCTAATGATTTGTAGTGTGTTACTTTTTAAGTTGGGAAGGAGATACCTGAATGTTTATTATATGAAATATAAGGTGTCACCAACTGCTTTTGCATATATAATATGTTTTATAGTTTCTTAAAAACACAGCATATAAGAGATAATGGGTATACATAGTTTCATTTTGCTTGTTTTGATTTTATATAAACACATCCAGCTGAATGTGTTCTGTGATTTGCACCACTTTTTTTGAGGTTCATCCTAGTTGATGAAGTTCTATATCAACTTTTACATTTAGAGATAATTCACTGAAGAAATCAACTGTTTATGCACATTTCTGTTATTTCTGGGGTTTTTCTACTAAAAGCAGTGGAAAGTTTTGCTATGATATTCTCGAATGTGCTTCCTGGTGCATGCGTGCAAGGGTGTCTCTCAAGAATACACTTAGAAATAGAACTGCTCAACTTCAGAAATAGATTTGAGCCATAAGTATTTGAAAACATGAGGCAATAGGAGAGCAAGAAGAGAAACTGTGTAATCCCCTTTGTTATAATATGTATTGCTATATTATTTTACAAAATGGTTTAATATATTGCCATATAATTTTACAATGTTGTTCCACCTTGCACTCCCACCAGTGGGAAATGAGAGTTCTCATTATTTTATGTCTTCATCAAAGCTTGATATTATCCATGTTTTAATGCTTCCCAGTGTTGTTGGTGTGAATATCATCTTATTGAGGGTTTAAACAGTTTCCTAATTACTAAAGGGATTGAATACTTTTTCACGCTTCAGTCTCTACAATGCTTATGTCTTTTGTTCATTCTTCTACTGGATTATTTTTCTTTTTATTATTGATTCTAGAAGTACTTTAAATATTGTAGACACAAATTGCTTATTCATCATTTGTGTTAAACATATTCTGAATTTCTTTTTGATTTTTCATTCTCAGGTGTCATAAAAAACAGGAGTTGTTAATGTTAATGTTGTCAAATTTATTAATCTTTTTATGTCATTAGAACACCTTTCATAAGATATATTCTTTTTTTTCTAAAAACTGTAAAGGTTTGCTTTTACCATTCAAGTTTTTAATCTGGAGTTATTTTTTGTATCTAGCTTGAAGTAAGTATCACTTTTCATTTTTTGCATGTGGATAACTAATTACTATAGCAATACTGACTGCATTGTTCATTTTTTCTCAACTGATCTGTACTGCCAGTTTTGTCACATAAGACTGTTATGGGTTGAACTGTGTCCCCTCAAAATTCACGTTACAATCCTAACCCCTACTACCTCAAAATGTGACCTTATTTGGCTATACAGTTCTTGTTAATATACTTAGTTAAGGTGAGGTCACACTGCAGTAGGATGGGCCCCTAATCCAATACCCCTAATTTCCTTAAAAAGGGGGAAATTTAGACATAGAGACAGAGACACACAGAGGGAAGATGATGTAAAGAGCCATAGGCAAAACATGGCCAACTACAAGCCAATGAGAGAGTCCTGGAACAGAGCTTTCCCTCACAGCCCTAACAGGTCATCAACTCTGCTGAAATCTTGACCTTGGACTTTGAACCTCCAGAACCATGGGACAATGCATTTTTGTTGTTTAAGTCATACAGTTTGTGGTACTTTATTACTCCCAAGAGACTGTCTTGTCTGGATTTTGTAACAAAATACGTGATGTAGAGCCCTCATGATCTAATCACCCACCAAAGCCCCATCTCATAATGCCATCATCATAGAGATTAGGATTTAAATATATGAATTGTAGAGGATGCAAAGATTCATGTCATAGCACAAACTAATACAAATATATTTTCATATAATTTGTTGGTCTATCTCTACTCTCTCTGCTCTGTTCAAATGGTATATTTTTCCATATATTTACCAAACACTGTTTTAATTTTGAGTTTTCCTACTCATTAGTATATCTTCATATTGATTTATTTCCTTTTCATGTCTTCAACAAAATAATTTTCTCCATAAATGGTTAACAATTCATTTTTACATTTATTCCTAGGTAAATATTTCTCTAGGTATTATAAAATAATTTTGGGGTACCACATTTTCTGATATTGCTTACTAAGCTAAAATCCATCGTTTTGTAAATATCAATGTTAAATCTAGCCAATTTGCTACATTACAATCATTCTAATATTTTATCTATAAATCTTTTAGATTTCAAAAATAGATAATGATATCAACTGTGGATATTTCATGAATGTGCTTTGTTCTTTTCAATCATCAAATATTATCTTTTACTAATTTTTCTTAACGCATTGCATTGGCTAAAATAAATTTTATTTACCAGCTAAATAAAGGCAACCATAGTGAGCACTCCTCTATTCTCCTTCATTGTAAAGGAAATACTTATAATAAATCATTATAAATATTATAAGTATTTAACATGATGTTCCCTGTGAGATTTTTGAAGATGCCCTTAATCTAGCTAAGAAGCCTTCTGGTATATTTATATTTATATATTTGATATTAATAGGGGCAGCCAAGGTAAAGTAAGCCCATTATAGCCCATAATTTCCACTAATTAAAATTAAAGCCTCTTGAAAAATTTAAAAAGCAGCATCCTGAGCTTCTACTCTGGCCACCATGGAATAACAAAGAACTAATTTACACACCTGCCTGAAAGACCTGGCGAAATAGACAAAATAAACAAAATGGTTTCCAAGACATTGATTATTAGTCAAGGAAGGACAGTGATCCTTGAGAAACAGAAAAAAAAAAAAAGATGCAAACTCTATGACTGCCCCAGCTTACTGCCTGAAGAGAAGCTATAGGCCACTGTGCAGGGAAAAGAATCCAGGCAAAGCTCAGTAGCAAATGAATTGAGGAAAAGGAACTGAGTTCTGGGAAGCCAATGGGCTTAGCTTTCGAAGGGCAGGAGAGGGTCCCCATGAGTCTTCAGATGAGTAGTGATCAGTATATGCATGTGAAGAAATCACCTAAGTCAGGGAAACCATCTACCCAAAAAGATTAGAAGGAGCAATCCCTGGAGCTCTTACAGGGCTGGGAATAGTTGTTGTTCCCACCAGACATAGCAAAAACATCATAATTCATGGGGCATTGAGTACAATACTGAAAAGAATATTGTCTCAACAATATGGAAAAATATCCCCATAATATACAGGAAAAACATTGCAGGAAAAGAAGATTGCATGCCAAAATAAGCATAAATGCAAGAACTAATAGGTAAATGCCAGGAATTCAAGGTTGGTTTAACTTTTGAAAACTATGTCACTGTAATAAGCCATTTAGAATAATTAAAATTTCTCTATATACGTAGAATCATCTCAATAGACACATAAACAGCATTTGGTAAACCTAAGATCTATTTCTAATAAGAATACCTGCAACCTAAG